TGCCGCGGTGGGGTGGCCGCAGGCCGCGGGGGCTGAGGTCTGGAGGGCTTCGAACGGAGGAGGGTGGGGTGGGGTGCGCGGCAGGGCTGCGGTGTGTGGTGGGCCGGCTTCCCTCGTGGGTGAGTCTGCCCGTAGGTGATGCCGTCTGCGAGCGTGGCTGTGCTACCCGCAGGTCCGGCTCCGCTCGTGGGCCGTCAGGCTGTCTGGGCCATTATGGGATGGACCTGGGGCTATTTGCATGTGAGGTGCACCTGGGTATACAAGTGGTCCGTTATCTGGCCTTCACAGGTGAATTTCCTGGGTCAGAAGAGACCTGGAAAAGATGTACTTTTACTGATCTTTTAAGCATTCTTCCCATGGCTGTCTTTCTAGATAAGTTTTATTAATGCATTGTCAAAGCACAGGGTAGGGGGTTGGGCAAGAGAAAAAAAATCAGTGCTTTACACTAGGAAAGCTGATAGACTACATAGGTAAACCCTAGTCTACAACTTTATTTGTAATCATGTCCTTCGTTTTTTTTCTTGTCTCAGTTGTAGAGCCACAGCACTGCAGACATGTCGATTGGAGTGCCAATTAAAGTCCTGCACGAGGCTGAAGGCCATATTGTGACATGTGAGACCAATACGGGAGAAGTTTACCGAGGCAAACTTATTGAAGCTGAAGATAACATGAATTGTCAGGTATGTCTGCTTCAGAAGGATGGAGGGAAGGCTGACAGCTAGCTTGTTGGCAGCTTGATAAAGGACCATTGCTTTTAGTCTTAGGATAAAGAAAACTGCACTCTTGCATGTACACTGTCTTCTGATAGTCAAATGGATTTAGGATTACTGAGCGCTACAAAGAAGCCAGGGCTTATTCTTTCCCGTTTTAGAGTTGGATTGAGTGTTTCTGTCAATAATACCAGGGTTTGTTAAGATTCTGGTCTGAGAACAATGCTTCTGCTGGAGTTCTTCATTTAAAGCCACTGAGCATAAGAATATAACCGCCCTGATTTAAGAAACTGAAGATTTTTTTAAATGTATGTTACTTTAGTCATCTTAAGAGGACTTAATTTTCATTGACTTTAGGCAAGTCATTGTTGAAATCAAAATGCTTCCTTAGTAGTTAGGACTAGAACAGCTTTGTTTAAGCTGATTCAGTATGAGAAAACAAAACTAACAAAGCTGATAAAACTAATTTGCAAAGTGGAGAGAAGCAAAAGTCCTGTGCCTGCTGGAACACTAGCAGTCTTCAGGGTATGTTTAAATGGTCCTGGATGCCTTGTGTCACAACTCCAGCTGAGAAAGCTTGGAAAGTCTTTGGCTTTGGTACTTGAATCCTGGCTCTGTATTCTGCAGGCAAGAGAAATGGGAGTACAGAACTGTGTTATAGAGGCCTCGACAAGCACTGACTGGTCTTTACTTTCCAGATGTCCAACATCACGGTGACATACAGAGATGGACGAGTGGCACAGCTGGAACAGGTGTACATCAGAGGTAGCAAGATACGGTTTCTCATTTTACCAGACATGTTGAAAAATGCGCCTATGCTAAAGAGCATGAAGAATAAAAACCAAGGTTCTGGAGCTGGGCGAGGAAAAGCAGCTATTCTCAAAGCTCAAGGTGCGTACAGTTTGTTTATGGGCTCTCTCCTCCTCCTGTTTCGCTGTAGAACAACTGGAAAGCAGTCATCTCTGTTGCTGAGGAAATGTAAGCTGTAAGATCGCTGGTTCATACCTTATCTTCCGTATATTTCCTCTTGTGGTGGGAGTCAAGACTCAAACTGCCACCTGAATGTGTAGTGTTGATGCTACATTCATGTAAATATAGTAAGTAGCCTTGTTAAGCAGAGGCTCTATGTAAAACTGTCTTGTTTTCCAGTGATTGTTTGGAATATTTAGGGAAACTTCTGTGAAGCTGTAATTATTAGCCATTCTGTAGTTCCCTCTCACTTGTACCTTTCTCAGAGGAACTATCTGGTTACAAGAAGACTGAGTAATAATCCTGGGCCGTGCAGTCCTTGGTCAACTTTTGCAAATACAGTGAGGTTGCATGGGGGAGTAACATCTGCTGAAATGTAAGGAATTCTGTTGCAGAACCTTGGAGTTTGGGTTTTAAATCCCTTGGGTTATACAGATTTGGGTGAGCTTAGAAGGAACACAAAGGGTATGAATATTCACTGGGCCTGTTCTGAGCAGCAAGACTGTGTAACCATTAGTTCTGGTTCTTCTCGCAGACATCTTCTGCTGTCATACCACTTCCTGAACTCTGTAGGATAGCCTTGATTCCTTGCTTCTGAGCAAGACACTTGGAGTGGTTTTTGTTTTGCCTGTCAGTTGTTTAGATAAAGTTGCTGTTAACGTCACATTCATGTCATCCCTGGTGTTTTCTCTCTTCAGTGGCTGCAAGAGGAAGAGGCCGTGGTATGGGCCGTGGCAACATCTTCCAGAAGCGAAGATAATTTTGGTCTTGACTGATGTGCTTTTTTTATTAGGGGGTATTGACTTGACTACATGTGCATTGTTAGCAGTTTTGTCTAATAAATGTTTCTGACAAAAACTTGTCTTCCTTTACATGACAGGACTCCTCTTGGGCAAATACACTGTAGGTTGAGTTCAAACTTGAGATAGCTTTGTCTGGAAAACAATGGACTTTATTTCTAGATTTGACTACATTGTATTTGTGTGATGCATTGACTTTTAAAGATCATCATGTTTCCTTGCCCTTTGTTTAGTCCTGTTGCATTCATTCTCTAAAGAATTAGAAGGTGTTCTTGATAAAGATTTTCTAAATAGTATGTTTTAAAGTCACATTAGCAGCTGCTTTCTGGAAAATACAGTGAAACAGAGGCAGCTTCCAGAGAAGCAAAGCCCTCTTTTGCTTTATGTGGACCTACAGTAGATACAGGTCCATCTTCAGATCTGTACACTGAGCTTGTATTCTTGCATTTCTTACTTTTCTCTTTGGATACAGGGAGAATTTTTCTTTAGGAACACATAGCTTTGATGGCGTGAGTCTGTATTTGCAGTGAAAAATTCTCTTCTAACTCTCTTAGTTTCTTCTATGTCTGGGAAAGCAGACATAATATAAAATGGGCTTTTTCAAGGCTATATTTGAAATGTGTTGTGAATTTGAAAGGTAGTGGAGGTGTATGCTGAAAGTCTTAAACATGGATATCTATTAAATACAACTCAATACAAATGCTAATCTTTCCAACAAAACTTAGGATCAGCTTTAGCTGTTGGTCTTGACAGCCACGCAGTCGTGTGGCTCATCGGCTGATCTGCAGGAAGCCAAATGTATGGAACTTGATTTCCCTAAAAGTGTGGTGCGGTGGTTCTTACGGACTTAAAGGGTTGATGTGTTTGCATGTGGCACGTGTGTACCTAATCACATACAGTTGGTTATCGGTCTGTGGGTGCGCGAACGAGCTGGTCTTGCTTTTCTGCTCGGATGCTGTGGAGACTCTCCCTTGTGTGCAGACATGCGAGTTGAACTAATGTATTCATTTGTTGAATTGTCTGTAAATAAAGCTGTATTTTGGTCTCGCATCGCTAGAAAAACCCTGCTACATGTTCTTCTGGGTAGTAATGATCTTAAGTATTTGCATTAGAAACCTCCTTGACATGTGTTTAAGAGATGCTTGAGCTTAATTATAAAACCATTTCAGTGTCATCTTATGTGTAGACTGAGGAACTTACCCTAAAGACAGAGTTTCTGCAAAGCCCTGCTTCGAAACATGGCATGTGAGTCATGTTCATAGAACAGTCATGCTGTCATGAAGGCAGCGTTTCCAACTTAAAATGAGCCATTTGGGGCTTTAGTAATGATATTTAACACTTCGTTGGGGAAAAATATGTCATTCTTCAAATCTTCAGTCACCCGACAGAGAATCGTGACCCATACCAGTTGATCAGGTCGTTTCCCTCCCAGAGTGTTTCTGTGTAAGATCTGGGCAGGTGAACTGCACAGCAGTGCAAGTACAAGTGTGCAAGTACAGCCTCTCTGATGGTGAGAAGAGGCAACTGTGTGTACTCTCTGGAATTCTTTAATAATCACTTTGGTTCTAGCTCTTCCTGTGGGAGAGAGGACATTTTCACAGAACTTCCTCCCCATGCTTCGGTAAAGGCTTCTGATTGAGAAAGACCGTCTTAAATCGACATGAAGGCAGAGTCCGTTTTGGGTCTGTATACCGGGTGCCCACACACTGCTGTTATTAACACACAAGAGAATTTCATCCTGTTGCTGTGCCATGAGGTTCATGGTATGAATTGAACCGTCTGCTTGTAGTATCCTATGCTAATGCCCGGGTTCTCTGGAAATGGGTTGGTAGGTAAGAACAGGTATTTCTGTTGACGTCACTGGCTTTGCTTGTTGCTGTTTGGTGACATTCAAGATGTCCACTGCCCTAGTAGGTAGTGTTCTGGCTATTTGAAATAGAGGTATTTGTTGCTGCTAACTGAGTTTTATCGCTTTTAATAGATCAGGCTTGTGTTGCTCATCAAGTTGGAACTTTCATACGAAGGAGTAACACTACGGTCAGCAGGCCAAGCCGGAATGGCACCTCCTGCAAGATTTTATAGGATGCTGCTTCAGCAGCTACAGCTGTCTTCCAAAGCAAACACCTGATAGAAACCTGATATTGATGAGTGCCACAATTGCAGTGAGTGACAAGGGAAATTACTGTTACCTTGGGTGGTAACAGGAGAGACCAGAGGTGTACTCACAGTTGGAGCAAAGAGAAATCCCTGCCAGCACTCCGGGTCTGACATCCACTCGGTCTACCTGTAACCTCTCGAGGAAACAAGCGCTGAGGATTGCTACATCTTTTCTTTTTTTTTTTTTTTCTTTTTCTGGGACTACTTGGTACTTCCCAGCCCTCAAACCTCTTCCTTTTTCTGTAAGGCCTCCAAAAAGAACTATTAATATGTGGAAAAGGAAGTAAGCCACAGATGGGGAATTGACTAAAAGTGTTTTTTGGGAGAGTTTCAGCATTTTGGCAAGGCTGCAAATCTGGCCTGCGTTGGCTTTGCGCCTAACTCTTTCCTTCTGACTTAAATAGCAACTAACCTTTCCTGAAGGTTAGATGCTGGCTTCTTTTGCAGAGGGCCGGGAGAAATGGCACCAGAGTTTGACCTCAGCCAGGTACTGGAATGGCAAAGGCTTTGAACCACAAAGGGGAACCTAAATAGTGTAACAGTTACATGCTACCTAGGCAAATTAAAGCTGCCCAGCAGTAGGGGGTTTGTTTGGGATTGTTTCCACTAATGGTGATCGGCTTACCTTTTCTGCTGTTTCTTAAAGTTCCTGCTCCTCCTTCCTGTGCAGTGCCAACCTCCTCTCTCCATTGGTGTGGCATTCAGCAGTGCTGAGGGCAGGGGGACAACCATGAATTTAAGAAAGAAACAACAACCTTTCCCAGAAAGTTTGACTGATAGAACAGACTCTGAGACGTATCTGCTTTAAGAATTTTCTGATGGTTCTCACCCTCTATGTTTGTGACTGTCCACTGAGCACACAGCAATGAAACTTTTTTTAACCTTTGTTTTCCCAGCAGTGTTGCCTTAGCTTTAAGGCTTTATTTACAACATCTAACATCTCTAACCCCTATCAGCTATGAAGAAGGTAATGGCTTTTGCGTAAACAAAAAGCTTTGCACCTTGAATTCAGGTTGAGGCTGAGTGGAGGATGGACTGTTTACTCTCTTCAAAAAGATGCTGTGAATGAGTGTTGAAAAGTTTGAAGTTTCACGTTGGTCCCAGCCAAGATAAAGGTATCACTTAGTAGTTTCCCTCTAGACTCATGGATATGCTAGTTTGTTGCAGGCTGCTTTGAGGATCTGCGTGTGATGTGTGTCTTATCCTTAGTTACAGTGTCTCATCCACTAGATGGCTCTGCCGGTAAGAGAACGAAATACAAGAAACCAGAACCCTCTGGAAGGAAAAAATGCCACAAATTTGACTTCCGCTTAAGACCCATAAACTCAGTACTATTACAACCTCTCGCATGGAAATACTCGACTTATTTTCTGTCTTCTTCAGTGTTCGCAGAGTGCTGGCCTCACACGCTCCCAGGTTATTGCAGCTGATGCTGTGTGTTTCCCTGGTACCTGGGGATGGGGCATTGTGTGCTTAGGTAGGTGGTGCAGAATCTGCCAGTTCAGCAGCTTAAGTGATCTGTTCCTCTGGGACAGAGGATACCATGGATGGACACAGCTGTCTGTTTTTAACATCTGCCCTTATTTGTCACCTTCTTTTTCATCACAGATAGCAGCATTTCTTTCCATTGCCCTTGCTCTGTGTGTAGGCTCTTCAGAGGATTCAGGGCTCAGTGTACCTTCCTGCTTTTGACAGAGAGACAAGATACTGGCCTGAAGCTTTGACATGCACTTGCCCCTTCGATATCAGTAATGTAGATACCATTGAAGTACTTGGGTGGGACAGAGTAGTTACGCTGCAGCTGTGCAAAATGGTGCGTGGAGTAGTGGAGGTGGAAATTCACCCAGTCTTCCTGGGTCAAAACCAAGGTTGTGCTCCAGTACAAAAACAGAGGGCAGGTCCTGGTAACAGCAGAGAAGAGTTAAATGTTTGGAGAAGGTATTACTTGAAAAAAATTGCTTTGCACAGAACTGTAGGGCTTCCTCACTGCCCAGGTGTGTCTAACTTCTGTTTGATCCTGAACCTGTACTTTAGTTCATTTCCCAAGGAATCTCTGCAAAATATGAGTCGTTGAGGTATTGCGTAATCACTGGGATAGGCTGGGAAGGGATGCTGTGTAGATGGGTTAAGTGGCCAGCTATGTTGTCTCTTCTCTGAGTGTAATCACATGCCACATTACATAAAAATCCTGTTGTTCAGGGTAACAGAACTTGGTTTATACCTACTCTTCCTGAAGAAGAAAAGGAAGATTATCTTGTGGGAGAGGCATCAGTCTCTCTATCTTTGCTGGTGAAAGGCAGAAGTAAAGGGATGTGGCCCCTAGATCTTCCATGTCCTCCAGAAAAATCTCTTCTAGAAGGGCAGAATGGAGTGGAAAATGTGAATTTCTGGTGCTGGTGGTCATGAAAACTGTCCAGGCTGTATCTCTTTGCTACTCAGGTTTCACAGTGAGCTTTCATTTAAAGTAGAGATGTCCTGTTTCCTCTTGCCAGTACTATGTGAGCAAGGCTGACATCCCAGTGGAGTAATGATTTGATAAGGTAGCGAAGGGTGGAATTCTGTGGTCTACAAGAAAGTGCCAGTGATTCGGTTGCTTATTTCTCAGCCATGGGTCAAAATGGAGAAAGGCTTTTTCCAGGGTTCTTTGATGTTTCCATCCTGACAGAGACACAGATTTACATCTGGACTTGTACCTTATTGCAGATGAGCTGATTTCAGACAGTACCTGGTCTTCCTTCTCTCACATCAGATAAAGCCAACTCTGTGGGACCCTCCCGCCCGCAGTCTTTCTTTGGGAGGAAGTACAGAGACATCACGTTCAAAGCATGGTCCAGAATAGCCTTGACACAAATGCTGGTATGGGCAGTGTGTGCAGATTACTGTGCAAGTAAGATGATACCG